AGAGAGAGAGAGAGAGAGAGAGAGAGAGAGAGAGAGAGAGAGAGAGAGAGAGAGAGAGAGAGAGAGAGAGAGAGAGAGAGAGAGAGAAGGCAAGCGGTAAAGGCAGCATATCCTTCTTTGTTACTTGATTGTATCAATGTGTATGAGTTGTTTTGATTCCGCTTCCTTGTGCTTGTAACTTTGTAGCACTCGATAATTTTCATTTAGGTCTCTGGCGTGGACACAAGCTTTTCCTGGTTCATGTGGGCTGTTCTACTGTAATCCATTCTTTCCCTGCTTGAATGTAATGCCAATGTGACTCTCCAATGCAACTCCATAACTACGTATCAGCATTATGCTCATGGTTAGTGTGCTGCAAGTCTGAGGATTGCACTCTCAAGTCAATAAAAAAAAATAGAAATCCATTGTTTTTCCACTAATTTCCAGGCTGTCAGAAGAGTGAAGCTACCGAAAGGACATCTTCAGCAATCTTTTGCTTTGGATAATTGTTCTAGGATGATCTGAAAATATATGATGAGCATTTCGACAGCAAACCATGCGATGAATGCATCCTAAGGAATCATGCTGCAAGTCACCCTGAACTGTGTGGTGGCAGCTGAGATTGCAGCAGCAAAATCAGCAGTTTGTTGCTGAGATCTGAAGTAAAAATCTGAATTTGATAGGGGAGAGGAAACTCTGTCAAATTTTGCAAATCTGGGTATTATTGTCAAGCACGCATCTCTGTATCCCCCACTGGGAAGGGGAGGTTCTGTCAAAGTTTTTCTGCCAGTCAGCTTTCCGTACCTAGCATAACCAAGCGCGTCCATTTGGCCAGAACACCGATCCCCAACTGAGGACGGTAACCGCTGCGAAATTTTTGGCAGGGCCTCGGTTTAACGAACAATTACTTGTCACCCCATGTCCTGTTTCTATTACTGAATCACGAGGATTGTGCACCTTCCTTTTTCTACTCCAGTCAGAAAGGTAACTGAACAGGAGTCCTACAAATAGAGAAGGAAATAACGTAATAGATAAGCAATAAAAAATATAAAAGGGATAAGGGGAAAGAGGCAACAGGGGAAAAGGGAATAAGGTGAGGATGGCAAAAGAAGGATTGGGAATGGATACATAGAACTGGCTAGCAGAGAAAACCAAAGTTCAAATGGTTAAAAGAACTGAAATCATCAAAGAAGATGGGGTGAAAGAAGAAATGGTGATTTGGGAATATCTTAAGGAATCTCTGCCACCCCTGGATGGATTTTATAACAAACACGCTGTGCTCTTTACCTTTCCAAGAAGAGCCAATAACTGAACAGAGCAGAAAAACTGAAGTGGCTGTGGGAAAAACTTCAGAGGAAGGAGGCAATCCCAGGAACGGATCCAAAGTCACATTCCACAACAGGTGCAGAAACACCATAATGGTGGTCTGCAAGGACGGCAAGCAAGCTGAATTCCTCCAAAATAAGTTGTTCACCTGCAATTCCTCAGTGGTCTTAGTCCACCCATGGGCTCCAGTGAGGAACACTCAGGCATCTCCTTCCAGGTACCGACCATCACTGATGCAAAAGTACTTCTGGATTCAGTTTGACTGGGTACAGGAGGACCTACATCAAGCAGTCAAGGCAAGGCTGCAGGAGGAACATGGTCAGTTCCCCGTGATGGACTGGATCACACCAACCCCGGACTTCTTAATCTCACAGCATGACACAATGATGGCTTGCATCAACACGCAGGGAGCGGTAGCACCTCAACTCCCTGATTTCTGGTACTTCGTAGTCAGAGACAAAAGAGTCGAAACCTCCTGTGCATCAAATGCAAACAGAGGGGACACTTGGGAACAGACCCACGATGCTCGGAAAACGCAGGCTCAGCAAAGTACAAAAACTTGAAACCAACTGGCTTGGAAGCGGTGGAGGGGGAACCGGGTTTCTGGTTTGTCAAAGATGCTAAATACCTAGGATGGGTAATCAATGACCAGCTGGAAACACCGGACTGAGTCTGGATTTTGGAAGGGGAGCAACCTAGAGACCGGACATCTACCCCCCCTCAGACACAGTTGGCAATCCAAGAATGTCGGCAAGAAGTCCCCCAGGATCTTCACCTCAGATCCAGTTCTAAGCAAGGAAAGAGTGCAGGAGGAAAGAAGACTGAGAGATCGCCAAATGGATCTAGATGAGACATGGGAACTGGCAGAAAGAAGCTGGGCATAAATAATAAAGGAAAGCAAGATCAAGCAATCAAGATGGACTCCGCAGAAAGCAACACAGAAGGGAGTCAAGTAATTCAATATGCACGCGAAGGGAGTCAGAGAGCAGACCAGGAAAAGAGGGAAAAAGCAGAGAGGGACCAGGGACACAAGACCAGGATGTGGAAATGATGGAAAACAAGAGGGCAAGAACTAAGAGGAAAGGGAGAGAGCTAACAAAGGAAGAAGTCACAATAGCAAGAAGTAAGAAATGAGACCCTGATCAGGAGGACATAGATGTAGGGGTATGGGATAGTAGTCCAACCGGGAAAATCAAAGAATACTAAGGGCTGGCAGAATTTGAATGGGGGATGCTTACCTAGCCAAGACCGATGGGAGTGGTTTCAGGACAGCTACCTCACGCTGGCTGAAACAGCTGCTAGAATATCGAGAAAGTTGGCAAACGACAAGAAATAGAGAAAACACATGCTGGAAACAACCCTCAGGATAGCGGAAAGTAACCTGACCACTGACCCTTCCTCCCCCATGTATACGGAAGTGTTTGAAAAGTCTCGAGAAAAATTGGCGTTATGGCGTCAATGAGAACTGAGAAGCCTCCAAATCAGAATGAGAATGACAATTTTGGAACTAAATGAACAGATGTCCAAGCATTTCTTCGCCAGAATAAAAGCCATCGGTAGATCCAACTCAATCGAGGGACTCAAAGAACAGTCCGTTCAACACGGTCGGACAGTGAGGGGATGCTGGAGGTAGCAAAGAGCTTCTACAAAGACCTATATCAATCCAAAACGCCATCTGCCACCCCCTCTATATCCGAGAAGCTAGAGCGAGGATGCTTCAGTATATGGACAAGACTCTCTCAAAGGACCAGGCCGACAAATTAGACAGACCCCTAACCATGGAAGAACTTATCTTTGCAGTCTGGCGCATGAATAGCAACAAGACCCCTGGGATAGATGGTCTTACGAAAGGATTCTTGGAAAATTTTTGGCCTTTGCTGGGAACTGACCTTATGCAGTTCTATAACGACTGCTGGGAGAAGGAGGTATGGGAGAAACTCTCAGTACCAGTGTCGTCACACTCCTTTACAGGAAGGCGGAGCGCGAGAACATTAGGAACTATAGGCCGATCTCCCTACTCACACTACCTTATAAAATTATTGCCAAAGCCTTAGCCTTCAGAATATTTGACCTAAAAGACAAATGCTTTCACATAGATCAGGCTGGGTTGATACCGGGACGGGATATTCTCGATAATGTCACGACCCTAAATGAGGCTTCCAAGAAAATTACAGAAAAGAAGATCAATGCAGCAATTCTATTTTTAGACTTCGAAAAGGCATACGATCAGGTGTATTGGTCTTTCCTAGACGCGAGCATGGAAAATATGGGGGTAGGTCCAAATTTCAGGCCATGGCAACCGCGGACCCGAACCCGGACATGTCTGGACCGAGGCCCAGACATTTGTCTGGACTGGTGCGGACGTCCGGTAATCCGTACAGGCACCGGACAACCGGACAGGACCTGACCTGGACCGTCTGGACCTGTACACCAGACACAAAAAATGTCCGGACTGGGGAAAAAAATAAAATAAAACATTTGTAATACTTAAATTAATTTCGTAAACAGTACTAAACACAAATGAAGTCAGTTTAATGAACACAATCAATGGCAGTTGCGAGTAAGGGACGGAACTTAGTACTTACCGACTTTCAGTATTCACAACAGCTTCATACTGTCACAAGCATTCACCAGGCTCACGCAACAGTTGAAACCAGTTCTCAACAGACCGATCCCAAGACACTTCAGAAAAGAGTACGGAAATCAGAAAGAAACAGAACTTTGAACTTTGAAGTTAGACTTTCTAATTCATATTCATATGAAAATTGAAATTTAAACTGTTAAGTTATTCAGATCTGCTAGTCCTCCCCTTTCTCCTCGCCCCTCTTCCTGTAGGTTGATTACTTTTGCACTCTTGGTTTGGTGAGCTTGGTTTCCTTCCTCTTTTTTTTTTTTTGGGACAAGTGCTCCAGTCTATTCGTGGGTAGCAACACGTGTTGGGAACCGGGCCCAGCGTCCCACATAACGCTTTATTGTGAGTTGTCAGTTCACTGATCACCATGGAATGGCTGCAAATCATCCTGTGGCTCTTTGATGTGCTCATTTTCTGGCGACGAATGTTGCGTGTCTTTGCTGAGGTTTCTTATGGTACTCTTAGGTACGCTATTGCGAAACATAAAAGAGAGGACAATCCTAGGAGGCGTAGACATGGACCAAGAGACTGCGGGTATTGATCTCCCCTAACCCTTTCTTATTATGCTCTACGCATGTGTAATCGAGCTATGTAACTACGGTTACTTGCTCTTCCTACACAACCAAACCCCTGATAGTCTGCAGGCTTGTTACGGGTAACCTCACACCCAACGCTGCTTTCCGGTCGGAGTTGGATGTAGTCCCAGGAAAGTGTGAAAGAAGGGGTTGTGCCAAGGATTTTAGGAAAGATGGGGATGGAGTTCCTGGCAAGAACTGGAATCTCCGTGTCTTGGCTCCGGAACCAATTTGGTCGGCGGACAGGCAAGAGAGATGACAACAACAAAAGTCTGCTAATTCGAGGGGCATCTCTAGAAAACCCATTGAAACTTGGGAGAGCAAAACCAAGCCATGCGAAGAGATTTAAGAATAATCTACAAACGGTTAT